TCTGGCCCGGGGGGGCTGAAGCCTGTCTCTTCTTTGCTGAGAGTCCCAGCTGCCGCCAGGACACCCTCGCCATTCAGCCGCTCTCTCTGGGTTCTGTAACTACTTCCTCCTCTTGCCTCTACAGGCCAAGGATGGAAATGGGTCCCCACTGTACTTGCCCCTTGCCTTGCTGGTTGTGCTGAAGCCTGCCTGCACTGTTGTAAATAATAGCCCCTCCTTCAACTCTACTGAATTATGCCGTTTGAATATGCCATCTGTTTCCTGCTAGGACCCTGACTGGTGCAGACTGTGTCTGTGTCTGTGTCTGTGTCTGTGTCTGTCTCTCTCTCTCTCTCTCTCTCTCTCTCTCTCTCTCTCTCTCTCTCTCGGTGCTGTCTGTTCCCAGATGACTACTCAAATCATGCCTCCTCCAGCCGATTTGCCTTGTCTTCCCTAGTCAGCACACACCTCTGCTTTCTAGGTCTCCTGACCCACTGTGTGTCTCTAAAACGACAGATCAGAGTTTCTCATGTTTGAATACGAGTTCCCCATGAACGTGGAAGCCTCTCAATGGTGAGAAACATGTCCCACTTGTTGCAACGTCCCCAGTGAACAAGAGAGAGGCTCGCAGGGCTATATATACCCAATAAATGCCTGTTAGAGAGGATAGAAACAGTCACCATTTAATTTCCTAAAATGACTTGGAATAAGAGAGCAGCAAAAAGTTGGGCTGTGCAGTGGTCAACCTTAAGACCATCAAGGCCACCTTCTCCACCTTTGCTGTAATCCTGGCTACAACCTCACTGTGCATGCCTCAGGTGGAAGGAAAATCACTCACCTGCAGAGAAGCACTCCCCAGGCAGGACCATTCTGATCAGGGATGACATTAGCTGCTACTCAGCTGCCTCCTGTAATTGCATCACTTTGGTCCCAGCCATGGCTTAGAAACCATATAGTATGATTCTGCTCCCTTTTCCATAGAACAGGCCTTTGGAGACTTGAAGTACATGTGTTATGGTCCTATGGTCATGGCCTTGAGAGAACTTTCTCATCCAAGCCAAACATCTTCAAGTGGTTATACAATACGGCTCCTGGGGCCCTCGCAGCCCCAGTCCCCTTCTTTGTACACATCCTCACTTGGCTGTCCTTAATTAGGAAAACTCATGGCCAGTGTAGCTCTAACAGCTCTGCAGTGGCTCATGAAAACCCAAGGCCCTTATCCGATTCTCTTCCAAACTCACTCACTCAGCACTTCATAACCCCAAATGCTCAGGGAGGGCTTCCCTGGTGGCACAGTGGTTGAGAGTCCACCTGCCGATGCAGGGGACATGGGTTCGTGCCCCGGTCCAGGAAGATCCCACATGCCGCGGAGCGGCTGGGCCCGTGAGCCACGGCCGCTGAGCCTGCGCGTCCGGAGCCTGTGCTCCGCAACGGGAGAGGCCACAGCAGTGAGAGGCCCGCATACCGCAAAACAAAACAAAAACAAAAGCGAAAACAAAAAAACCCCAAACGCTCAGGGATATTAGGGAAGAAGAGAGCAAGGACAGAACATGACGGGGGCAGGTACTGGGAATGGCAAGAATGTCAGGGTAGTTCTGAGAAGCTGTGCCATGGCAGACGACCAGGACTTAGAAATCTAGAGCATCTTAGCCCCAGTCTGACCACTAATGAACCATGGGAGCTTCGGCCTCAGCTCCCCTCTATGGGGGAAACGGATTTGGACCCACTGATCTCTGAGGACGTTCCTAGGTCTGACACTGGACACCATTTCAATGTCTTCTGCAGCCGTCTGCTAGGACTGGGTGCTCCCCTGTAACACATGAACTCCTGAGAACGTGGCCTAAGGGGCCCAAGGACTAGTAGATGAAGAATGAGCTCAAATGTGTTAGAAGAGTAGGTAATTCTCTGATGGAGTCTGCCCATCTGCCCAGCTGCATGACTGGTGGGTCTTATTTTACTCAAGGGAACCGTTATATAAATTTTCAGAATGGTGAATTTTCATCAGCGCTACTCAAAGTAAGCAGTGCACGAACTGCTTCTCACGAGTCTACGTCACAATAAGTACAGAAGTGGAGAGAAGGCATTTAGGAACTTTTGGAGAACTCTGACAACGCTTCACCATACTTGGGGTGAAGAATTCATTTTATAGCAATTCATTTTTTCTGTATATTACAAAAGTATTGGTTTGCAACGCATAGGAAACAAAACTGGTTCTTCACCATAGATTGAGAAGTAGTAACTGAATTATTGTCTTTATTGTCTTTACCCATTGAGGGGGGCGGGCAACGCAGGAGTACATCTTGGGTAAAAGATAAGTTCAGCTCTTCATTAAAAATCACCTAGACATGGCTTCCCTGGTGGTGCGGTGGTTGAGAAACCGCCTGCCGATGCAGGGGACACGGGTTCGTGCCCCGGTCCGGGAAGATCCCACATGCCGCGGAGCGGCTGGGCCCGTGAGCCATGGTCGCTGAGCCTGCGCATCCGGAGCCTGTGCTCCGCAACGGGAGAGGCCACAACAGTGAGACGCCCGCATACCGCAGAAAAAAAAAAAAAATCACCTAGACAATGTCAATCTAATTTTCTATTACAGGTGTCTTCCTTCTTTCCTCCCTCCCTCCCTCCCTTCTTCCCTGCCTTTCTTCCTCCCTCCTTCCCTCCCTCTTTTTTTTTTTTTGAGTCACAAAGCAAGTATTTCTCCACAAACTTCCACAGGTTTCTCTCTGCACACGGGAGAGCTGATTCAGCCAGAACGTTGTCACCCCAGCTCCATCAGGAGATGACACATTCCCGGTGGGGCTCACCCAGGACACATGACTTTCCAGCCAGCAAACAAACAGGCCCTGGCATGGTGGGCAGAGTGCTGGCACATGGCTGCTCACGGACATTCTAGGTGTGGGGCCCCGTGACTTAGAAACGACGAGGCCGCTGGTGCCTGCCAGCTCTGTCTGCTGATTGTGAGCTATCTGGGACCTGGGGTCCCGTGGCCCCAGCATCCAAGCACAGAGTGCCCGCCACAAAGGCCAGCTGCCCTTGGTCCTGACTCAATCATACTCAGCAGTTTTCTCCCAAGGCTTCAGGAAAGCCACCCTGCCCGTCAGCCCTGTCCTTTGACTCTGCCTCTTACTGTTCCTTGGACTTAAAAATACCACCCCCACCCTTCAGTGGGAGCTTTGGCGTCAACAGACCAAGATTCAAATCCAAGCTCTCTGTTTATTAGCTGAGTGACCTCAGCTAAGGGGTAAATCCCTTCCGTGTTCTGAATCCCGGATTTCCTTCAGCAAAGCAGGGATGAGGGTACCCACCACCTTCCTAGTACTTGGTAGGTGCTGAATAAACATTTGTTGCCTGAACGAATGAATGAATAAATGTACAAATAAGTGAATGACTTCCAGTATTCCTGGCCCCTAGGCCTCACCCCCGCCCACTCTGCCTGGGCACACCAGTTAACTCCTGGGGTCTAGCTCAGTAGCGCACACGCTGCATTAATCTCGAAAGGCTTGCATTTGTGATTTAGCCAAATGACTTTCCTGACCTGGGACCGTGGCCGAGTCATTTCACTCTCCAAGGCTCTCTATTTCCCCATCAGTCAAATGCAAATGCTAACCCTGTCTAGGCTTCCTCATCAAATTCTGTCAAAGCCCAAATGAGAGCAGAGATGAAAGTGCATTGTGACCTCGAAGGAACTGGCCACACACCAAGGCTTCTTCCCACATGGGCTGCTCCTGTCTCTGAGCCAAGGTGAGAGTCCAGGGGCCCGCCCGGTGCCAGGAGGCTGAGCTGACGTGCTCTGTGGCTTGGTGCCAGGCACGACATTCTCCTCCCAGCATCATCATTCCTTTGCACATAGGTATTTTGTCTATGCATGGGAGGCCCTTGCTCTTGTGAGAGAGACATAAAGAGGAGAGTCAGCAGAAAACCTGCAGAGGTCGGCAAATGTGCTCGAGCCATCAGCAAGTCCAGGGTCCTGCGAGTTGGACAGAATGGAAAAGTTCAGCGTGAATCTGGGAAATCAGGAAAGTTGATATGGACTGTCTCTCTGGCTTAGAACTAGTTCCCCTGAGTCCCACATCAAATACAGATCACCCATGGCTCCCCCTTGGGTCTTTCTTTGGGGTTGCTGGTCCGAGTTGTAGCGCGAGGCAGAGGCTAAGTCAGGCATTAGACAGAAGACTCCCCTTCCCGCCCTCTTCTCAGCAGTATATGAAATTCCTCTGCCTTGAGTGTCCTCCTCTCTCCCCCAACTTGATCTCCGGTGTCCAACTGTACCTAAGCCTTCCCCAACATATTCAGGCTGCAAGTCAGCTGTTCCTCTTTGACCTCCTGTACACACGGCACATGCTACCTTTCATTGTTCAAGAAACGACACATACGCTTATTAAGAGGTAATATAACCTGCTAGCCCCTAGAAGAGACATGTGCTTTACGTGCCCTCATTCAATCTTCAAAGCAGCTTGACAAAGTAGATACCATTGACTCCCATTTTACAGACGAGGAAATACCTTGTAAGAGGTCACAAAGTGAGGAAATAGACCTGAACCCAGTCTGTCTGGCCCCAGCCAATCCCAGCTCGACCAGCACTGCCCAACAGAACCTTCTGCGGTCACGGAAGCGGTCCTATCCCTCTGTCCAGTGTGGTAGCCACTATCCCCGGGCGGCTACTGGGTTCTTGAAACGTGGCTGGTGTGACTCAGGAACTGGATTTTAAACTGCATTTCATCTTCACTAATTTAAATGTAAACTGTCACACGTGGCCAGTGACTACAGCACTGGACAGCACGGCTCTTTATGACGCGGATATGTGCCCTCAGCCCAGGTGGCCCGGTTCAGACCCTGAGCCCCTCGCAAAGAAGGGTCCTAAGAGTTCCCTCAGCCCACAGGAGGCGCTCCGTAAATATGCTGGTAAGGGGCACAGTCCCTGTGATTACTTGGTCGATCTTCTGGGTGAACTGGAAGATTCCCGCAACCCCACTGGGCGTCGGGAGCCGCGCAGGGATCAAAAGAGGGAGGAGTCCGGCTCTTACCTGTGCGGAGAGTCGGGATCGAAGCAGGTCTTGGTGACATCGGTGATCTCGGGGTCACAGCACTCCCCGCCGTCGAAGTTGAACCGCTCGTAATTGCAGTCCATGTCGCACACCCCGTTCTGCTGCTTCTTGGTGAAGGCGGGGTGACGCAGGTGGCGGCAGTCCCCGCCATCGTGGCCCGTCAGCGTGTGGTTGCACTCGGGGTCGCAGTTCTCGTCCCCGATCTTGCTGATGTCGCAGTTGGCCAGGATGAGGCGGCGGCGCAGGGATGAGTTGCTCACCTCCAGCACCTCCAGCTCCCAGGAGATGTTGTAGTGCTTGAAGGCCTCGGCCAGCTGCCGGTGCTGGAAATCGATCTGCTGGCGGCTCACCGTGGGGTTCTCACGGCCATCGTCGTGGAGGTTGACCACGCGGTAGCGCACCGCCTTGGGCCGGCGGAAACGCGGCAGCTGGTTGTAGCTGGAGATGACCTTGGGGTTGTCACACAGCGTCTGCCCGCACAGAGGAGGCTCCAGACTCGTGTCCAGCAGGAAGCCACGGGCGCCGCTGGCCTCCACGCGGGGGCTACTGCCGTCCTTCATGGGGGACCAGGCGCGCTTCACGTTGTCCCAGTTCTCCTGCAGGAGGAGCTGAGGTAGAGGAGCGTGGAGGCCGCGCGTCTCCATGTCCAGCAGGACCTCGCGCTGCGTCCTGGCCGCCTTCCACAGGCTGAAGCGCTCCACGTAGCCCCGGTAGTTGTGGTTCAGGGCGCTGCCTCCCAGCATGAGGACTTTACACTTCTGGGTCAGTGGGCTGAAAATGCCACCCACCTGCTCCCCAGAGGTTGCCACCTGGGCACCGTTCACATAGAGCTTCATCAGCCGCCCGTCGTAGGTGGCAGCCAGGTGTACCCACTGGCCTGGGAGGTAGCTGCGGTGGGCATTGATGGTGGTCACTTGCCGGGCCCGGTCTGTCTTCAAGGAGAAAAAGTAGCGTGGGTCTCTGTTGCCTTGGTCACTGACGGTGTGAATGCCCACGACCCATCCTCGGTCACGTGAGGCATAAGAACATTTGTCATATAGCCCTATGCGGCCCCAAAAGAGAAAGATGAATAAATAAAGGATGGAGGAAGGAGGAGGGCAAATTATTTCTCTCTGATAAAATTTATATCAGGATGTCCTAGACCAGGAAGTTTTCAAACCGTGCTCAGTGGGATCCTGGCAGTGACTAGCCAAACCTCTGGGACCACCTCTAGGGCAAGGCAAGGGCTAGAGGAAGGGAGAACACAGGTGAGTTACCTTTGGGAGGTTCTCGCCACAACTTTAACCCATGTGGTTTCACTTTTTTTGGTTCTGAGTATGGGGCATACAAGAAAGATATTTGTTTGCAGAATAGGTACTTGAGCTAAAGAAAACAGCAGTGATAATAACTAAAATCTGAAAACCTTTGATTTTGCAAAACTGTTGGATGGGGAAGAGGACTTTTTTAATTAAAAGCGTATTTTAAGTGTAGAAGGACATAGGTGGTGAGAGGAAGAGGTGAGAGAACAATCAAAGAGATGAGGATGAATAGAAGCTGCTCATTTAGAAGGACAGCTCTGACTACCGTCACCGCAACTTTGGGCGCACATCAGCCACCAGCACTCATCAATGATCAGCGGTGGTGGCTTGTTGGGAAGGTTCCCTGGAGAAGTGAGGGTCAAGGGCTGCAAAGCTACTAGTAAAGCTTCTAACTGTAACAGGAGTCCTGGCTAGCCCCGACATCCACCCCCAAAGAAAGGCGGACTATCTGAGCTGGAAAGGTTTTTAAACACTTGCAACTCCTTCGCTCGAAAGGTAAGGAAGCTGAGACCCAGCGAACGGAAGGCATTTGTTAGGTTACGTAGAGTCACTGACAAATTTCCTGAGAGCCAATTCAAGCCTGCTTTTCTCTAACACTAATGCTAATATTTCAAAAAATAAAAAGCATCCTCTTAACATAAAAGGATGTTGGGGATGCCTTCATTAAGTAAAATCTTCCAAGCCTCTATCGCAGGTCAGGCGTTGTGCTAAGGTCCATGTATGCATTAATTCATTTAATCCGTGTAGCACCCCCAAGGTGCTGATGTTAACAGAGGAGGAAACAGAAATTGAAGGAAGTAAAGAGATGGATGGGTTTGAGGTCAACTGGTTGGTAAGTGGATCCCAGATCCATCGGACCCTGGGTCCACTGTCCCAGGGACTAACTCTATGGTACCTCCCTCTCCCTCATCAGTGCCACCAGGGATCTATCTGGATCAAACCACCTGCCTGGGGGTGTCCCAAGGTTTAGTTGGGTGTTTGGGAAAGTTCCAAGCCAGACATCTCTAGACTTACTCTGGGAACCTCAGGAAGTCACTTAGCAGATTCTCTCTGGATCTAATTATTTTTATACTCACCAACCCCCATTCCCAGTCTTTCTGGAATACACCCAGTGTCCTTGGCATGGACAGCCAGTTGGATGGGAAAGACTTTCTAATTAAGAGTGTATTTTAAGTGTTGGATGATGTATGAGGCCAGGTGGGAGGAGAAAGAGAGGAACAGGAGAATGAATAAAAGATGCTCGTTTAGAAGCACAGTCCCTACTTTCAGCTGGAGAACTGTTGCGGTCACCATAACTTTGAGTGTGCACCTGCCATTAGCGCTCATGAAGTGAGCACAGACGGCTTCCAGCAAAATCGGTAGAGGAGGCCCACACAGTCTGTACTCCTCTGTGGTCACTGGGGCCTTAGAATTTGTGTAACTCTCTCTGTTAGCAGCTGACATAGACGGTAGAAGTCTGCCTACACCTCTCGGACCACCACTCCTGTCCTACAATCCTTCACGTCGTGGCCAGGGTCTCCTCCAACATCAACCTGCTCTCACACCTTGACGAAGCACTAAGTACCTCCTCTGGGTCTTGGCTCCCTACCTGGGAAAGGAGGGGACTGAATGAGGTTCCCCCCACATGTTTGGTTAAGTCTGATGTTCTGTTCCCAAGCTTCCCAATGGCTAAAACAGAAACCACCTCTACCAAGCAGCTTTCCCTGATGGTCCTCTGAGGAGCAATCATTCTCTCCTCTGAATTCATTCTACTTTTTGGAAACTAGACACTTGTTCTCTGGTTTTGGAGTCTCCCCTAGACTGGATGCTTCTTGAGAGTGACGGCTCTGTTTGGGTCATCTGTACCCTGTCCAGAACCTTGCACTATTCCCTTGTACACAGCAGGCACTCAGCAAGTGTCTCATGAATGAGCACATGAATGATTCTAAACGGAGTGGGAGAAGAGAAAAAGGACAAACAGAATCAAAGGCACTGATGTATGTCTCCCTGGATAAAGGACAGAGAGAATCAGAAGACAGAGTGTGTTCTTGGTCAGGGAGAAAGAGCAGGATCTTTGGACTCCGGGTAATTCTGATGACAGCAGTTACCGGCCGTACATCGGGGGCAGATCGCTGCACCTCTGTGGATCTTAATTCCCTCAGCTGTACCTCTCTTTACGTATGCTGTCATACTTAGAAGACACAGTGGCTCTACTACCCTTGTCATACAGTGGCTGTCCAAATGGGAGTTCACTTTTAAGAGGCTGGAGGGTCTGGGAGTGATGTCAAGGATGAAAAGTAGAAAATGACTAAAAACAAAATACAGAAACACCAGAGAGAGAGGGTACCCTAAAGGCATCTTGACTGATATATCAAGAGCTGGTAGGATGAGGGCTCAGAAAAGCACAAGTCCTCCTCAAATCCACTGGCAAACTCTACTTAGAAATCATAAACCCCCTTTGGCTTTGCTACTATTATGAGGCCTGCATGTTAAAAGCTACCTCCCCACTGACCGAGGCCAAAGCTCTGTCTCCAGGTTTGGAATGAGCTCCCCCAGGTCTGCCGCTGCCCACGGGAAGCAGGAGCGCACAGGCCCCTGGAGCACCCCCCTCTTGGGCCCCCCATCCCACCTCTCAGCTCACCTTCTCTTCCTCCCCTGGCCAACCCCTCCCCCTTAAACAGAAAATTCTTCTAATGAGAAAATTCACATCTGAAACAGGATCCTTTTCCCTCTCTCTTTCTCTCTCTCTCAGTCCTGGTTTTCCTGTTGCCTTTGGAAGGCGGCTGGCTGGGTTAGCAAGGTAAACTGTTTACACATCTGTAGGGTGCCCTCAGGTTCAGGACCTTCCCGGGGGCTGGGGACCCGGGCTCTGGCCACCTCCGTTTGCAGCTGAGAGATAAGAGGGTAGCAGTGAGAAAGGCTAGACTCTGTGACACGGAGCGAAGGACCAAGAGGTGGCTTAGCCCCAGGAAGCAGAGAGGAAGGGCAAAGAGAACCCTCTCTTCTCTCTTTTCAGTGGAACCAAGAGGAAGCACATTAAGGGAAATGAGGACCTTGAAGCAGCGGCTTCAGAAGTTCAGAGGGAAATATTTACCTGGAGTGTTAGTGGTGAAAGGAAATCACTGAACTTCAAGAGGGATGGGGGTGGGGTGTAGTGGTGAATGGGATTTATTTCTGTACAAAAATAACGTAATCAACAGTAGTCACGTTTCAGAGGGCTGCAAGGGAGGCACTGATGTATCACCAGCCCAGAACGGGGTATCTGGGACCAGAGATCTGGGCTCAGCTTGCTGGATGACCTTGCCTGGGGACAAGTCACACCACCTCTCATGCTGCCAGGTCTCATTTCCCTTCTCTGAAAAAGGAGGGGCTAGGAGTACATGATCGCCCCGCTACAATTTAAGAGCTCTTTTGTTCGCTGCTAGAATGGTTCCCTGTGAGCAGGAGACGCTTCAAAAACACGTGTTGCTTTGAATCGGACGCCTCGTGTCATTGCCAGTTTTTGCACGCTTGGAGGACCGTGCCCTGTGTGTCTCCATCCCGGACAAGGAACAGCGTTTGCCCTCGGAAGACACAGGTGAACCCCACCGCACCTCCACGCCACCCTTCCCCATGGTTCTCCAGGAAGACAGAGAGACACAGTGAAAGAAACAGTGGGAGTTGGTCTGAAGTCGGCACCGTCTGTGTGGTACCAGAGGTTGATCTCAGGGGATGCATCCGCAGGGGGCGAGACGGAAGGCCACAGGCGATCCTGCACACCATCTACATCGAATTAGCATGAACCTGCCTCCAAGCTATAAGCACATGGAAGCGGCAGGCAGCGAAAGTGCCAGAGCCCATTCGCCAGCCAAGGAGGTGACTGGGGCACCTGCACAGATGGAGAAGTAGAGGCCCAGACCAGGAAAGGGGCTGCCCTGGGTCTCGTGACCACCACCTGTTGCTTGAACCCTGGTCAGCTGGCCTCTCTAATGTGTCCCTATCTTCCTGCAGCTGGGTTTCCTGGGAAAAGGGCTTCATATTCCAGCCGAAGCTTGATGTTTATTTATTTTTATTGCCTCTTTCTGGTCTCATCTCACCCCCGAGTTGAAGAGCATGTATGAAGGAGGCAAGTCCAAAGGCAGAAGGCTTGTAGGGAGTCTCCCAAAACCTATGCCAGGGCCATACTGGGAGAATCCCATGGGCCGTGGGGTCACCGTCTCAGGGCCACTGTAATGTCACTACCCCAGGGCAGTGCTGTGTGACCGCAGCACTCCAGCCCGGGTACAGATAAATCTTCCTCCTCCCGGTCCAAAACCTCATCACTTCCCTAATTACGCATTCAATGTCTGTTTCCTGAGTATGTCTGTTCGGTTCATTTCTAAATGCCCAGCATCCAACACAGCATCTGGTACCTTGCAGGTGCCCCATAGAGTCTGTCACTGAAAGTATAAAATAAAGGAAGGGAGGGAAGGAAGGACACTTCTCTACTGTTGTGTTCCTTATAAGAGCACATCACCCTTTGTTTAGAAACTTACTAAGCACCCGTGCTTACTAAGTGCTTAATTCTCTTACTTCATCCTCACAACAAAACTATCAACGCAGCCCATTCTGCAGAGAAAACATGGGCTCAGAAAGGCAGTGGCTTGTCCCAAGCAACACAGCTTAGAATCTGCGTCCATAGGGTTCCCAGGCCCAGGTTCTTAATCGCATCACTGCATTAAGTGCTAAGTGCCAAACACTTTACTGTGGGCTGTTTGAGGACACGCCCCCCCTCCAAAAATACTTC